TGTCACCCTGGATGTTACCTATGTTAAGTTTGACCAATAGTTGACCAACTATATTGAGTCAATAGGTTCACTTGTCGTTCATGTCATTTTCTTTTTCAAGTTAAGGTAAAAATTTGCCTCAGAAGTTTTTACTCATGAGCACTAGATGTTTGAAAGTTTCAAATTGTAGCAATGTTGCCCCATCTGTTATCCATGTTAAATTTAACCATTTACTAACCAAATATGCTGAGCTAGTAGGTCCATGTGTGATCGCTTCAATTTCTTTTTCTTTCTTTCTTTCTTTTTTTTTTTTCAGGTTATTCACTTCATTCCTGGTTCATAACCCTAATGCCATTTTTCTTACAAAAAAAGCTCTTTCCACACATCTAAGATTTCATCATTTGCTCTTAGTTTAATAATTTTTGTAAGAATAAAAGTAGAGCATAAAAATAGAGTAAATAATATATGTAGAGTAGAAGTTTAAGAAAATTCTTAAAAGATGTAAACAATAAGGTTGATTTCGGGAATAGCCATGAGCTTGAAAAGTATAGAAGTAATTATTTTTTTAGAGTTAGTACTAAATCCTCACTTTAAAAAAAAAAAAAACTAAAGTGGATCACACATGGATCTATCAGCTCAGTATATTTGGTTAATTAATAATCATATTTACCATGGATAATAGTTGGGACAACATTACTACAATTTGAAAACTTTCAGATACCAAATGCTCCTAAACAAAAGCTTTTAGGACAAATTTGGAGTTAACCCAGAAATGAAAATGATATAAATGACATATGGACATGCCAACTTAACATAGTTAGCCAACTAACAATCAAACTTAACATAGACAATGACCAGGGTGACATTACAACAATTTGAAAACTTTCAAGATGACATTGAGTCAAAAAATACTTCTGAAAACCTAGTACTCCTAAGCGCAAACTTTCAGGACAAATTTACATCTTATCCCTTAAAAAAATAATAATATATTATTCTATTATGAAATTTTTTTTTATACAAATTGTTTGGATCACACACAAACGATAGATTGCATCTCTATGATATATTTTCTTATATTTTTGTATTTTTAAGATAATACTTACATCAAATTTATTATATTTATTATATATGTTAAGTTTTTCAATTTCATCACGTATGATCAGAGAACTTGATGTAATGAATAAAAGAAACTTGATATGAGTATTGCCTTTTTTTCAAGAAAATGCGTATATCTTTTTTTGGCCAACTTTAAATGTGTATATATAATTTTTTCTGAAAAGACACCAATTTTTTTTTTGCTACGTATAAATATCCTCCTATCAAAGGCACTGTTGGGCTAAATGTGAGCACCTCTTCTAGATTGGATTCGAATCCTAGTTCACAATGTTATAAGGAATTAACCCTTTCTACTAAACCTAACCCCCATTGATAAAGACACCAAAAAAATTGGATACTCATTAAAGTGTTAATGTAATTGGCCCTAGCCTAGCTAGTTGCCCACTTGTTTCTTTTAAAAAAAATCATTCTTATCCTTATTATGAGGATTTATTAATAGCCGTATATAGATTAAGAAATTTAATTAAAAATTGAATAATAATTTCAAATTTTTAAAATTATTCTCAATAAAATTAATAAATAAAAGTTGGTAAGGATGATGGCAAAGGACCACAGATTGAAAAGTGATTATCTCAAGAATTCGAGGGAGTGCCAATTGTGGCTTTATATTAATCAGAATACATAATTACTAAAATGCCTAAAAATGTGAAAGGGTTAAAGTATGCACTCGGTTTTCTAAATTTAATATTAATGTTTAGTTTTATTAACAGAAAATGTTACTCAAGTGCTAAATAATTTTTGTAAATACGGTGTTGGAATGGTCAAAACTTGATAATTATCTTTCGCGCGCGCACACACATATATATTATTTTGTACTATTTTACCAACATGCTTTAGTGGCTTAATAGTTATAGAATTTCCTGAAATTGAGGAGATGGCAAGAGCAAATTTTGTCACAAAATATCCCAACTACCGATCGCCAACAAGTGAGAGGCATGTTTTCCCTCTTAAAAAGTGAAGGACAGTATGTTTTTTTTTTTTGGCCAAAGAAGGACAGTATGGTAAAAGCACAATATTTTCAAATACCAAATGGGTCTACTTGTATGAATTTATTGGGGCAAATCCCAAACTTGATATAAATTATGAAATTGTAAATTGGATTTTTAAAATGTTATGAGTAAATGTTGATTCAAAAGTTTTTCCTCCATGTTTTCCATGTGAAAATGTTTGGGAATTTATAATGCGTCATCCCATACGTCGGACGACCCCGGACCCCCAATGCTCAGGCTTACATTAGTAACACATCAGATCTTTCCATGTGTGCTAAGTTGCACTGCTTACTAAAATAATCAGGTGTATTCTGTAATTCCATAATTTATATCTATAATTATAATTTATACTTCCCACGTCTATTTTCTATAACAAAAACCTACCATTTCTATCTTTTTTTATTTATAAGAAATATATGTTAAAAAAAAAACAAAGTATTTCCATGGTATGATTAATAAGACAACAGCTGCAAATACCTTCGTAACCTGCAAAAAGCTGATGGGAGTTGGAAATCTTATCATCTCGAACTCTCGGAATTGGCTTTGCAGCATTTCAGCTCTATTTATTAGCAACCAAGTTTGGCTTCCTTTGAGGAAGTTTTGAATGGTATCTCTCATCTCTCTATACCTACTCTTAATTCAGAAGATCTGCAACATCTCTTAAATTCTTTAACCATGCCAGAGGCTGGAGAAGCTGTATTTTCTTTACCTAAAAATAGTGTGAATGGTCCAGATAGGTTTCATGCAAGTTTTTTCCAGAAGCATTGGAATCTTGTAGGTGATGACATATTTCATATGGTTCTTCATTTTTGGCAGTTGGAGCACCTATTAAAATCTCTCAATAAAACTATGATTGTTTTAATCACTAAGCCTGATAGGCCTCAAACCTTCAAAGACTTTCAGTCTATTAGTTTTTGTAACGTGGCATACAGAATTATATCTAAAGTGTTATGCAATCGGCTCAAAAAGCCACTTGAGAAACTAATTAGACCCAGCCAAAGTGTCTTCCTCAAGGGTCGATTAATTTCAGATAATATCATGTTAACAGCTAATTTAATAACTCAAGTTCACTCAGCTAGGACGAGGAGGAAGAAATTAGCAGTTTTGAAGATTGACTTTTCAAAAACCTTTAATTTGATAAAGTCCCTTGGAGTTTTATTGTTGCAGCTGTGAAATATATGAACTTTCCTGATAAATGGATTACCTTGATTCACCAATGCCTTTCTACAGTACAATATCAGATTCAATCAAATGGTATAATCCTGCCTACTTGAGGTATCCCCTAAGGTGATCCTCTATCATCATACCACTATATTCTTGCAGCAATTTGTTTTAATCTTGCATGATCTCTCATCTTGAATCATCTCATCACTGGAAGGGTACCAAAGTTAGCCAGCAGGCTCAACTTGTAACTCATTTACTTTATGCTTAAAAAAATACCCATGAAAATACATTAAAGTTCACCAAATACAATACCAATTCAAGTTTAAAAAGAGTCAATAATATTAGTACCATTAAAATTAACTAATGTCCTATTTTTTTGGGTTATGGGACACACAATTTTTTTTAATGAAAGTACTAAAATACTTCCAATTAAAACAAAAAAAAAATTAAGGGCAAAAAATACCTATAAATTTATACTAAAAATTCACCAAATACTATATAATTTTTAATAAAAGTATGAAAATACCCTCAATCTCGAAGGGCTATTGTTTAGAGCATGTTAGAAATTATTAATTATAATAAATTTTTACATCCGCAGTCATTATAATTAAAAAAATTATTAATGTTTCTTAATAATTTTTTTCTTTTTCATAAAAACCAGGCAATTGTTATAGTTATTATATTAATTGTTATGGCTGAAAAAATTTCAATAAACATAAATATTATACATAATAATTAAATATTTTTGTAACTTATTGTGTTTAATATTTTAATAACATTATTACTCCAGAATGTTTTAATTTTAGATAATTTCTAAATAAAGTCAACAAAATAAATATTTACATTTTAATCCTTTGATTAGTACTCATTTGATTATTTTTATATTTTTAATTCAATTTAAAAAAATTATAGTTAAATATAAAAAAATTTTATAAGGATACTCTAAAGTTTGATTGAAATAAAAAATATGAATCCATCTTGTAAGAGGGTTGACTTTTTTTTTTGGAAGGGAGATAAATTGAGAAGACCATCAAGAGATTTGAGGGGGAAGATGATTTTTTTTAATTAACTGGGAGTATTTTGGTACTTCCATTAAAAATAATATGAGTTTCACTATTAAAATAACTTTAAATTGTCTCAAAAAATTGAACATAAACGTAAAAAAAATTTTAGGTTGATTGTTGAATTTGATAATTAGACAGGAGGATAAATACAACTCTCCATATATTATTGATACGAATAACTTATTTTTAAAATATACTCATAATCTCTACTAAAAAATCATTGTGGATATAAATAACTTATTATTGAAGCTTATACTTTTTATACAAGTTATTTTAATTATAAAAATGTATTATAATTAATAACCTCTTAACACATTTTAATGCAATAGGCCTTGAAGATTAGGAGTATTTTGATACTGTTATAAAAGTTAAGTAGTATTTGGTGAACTTTTGGTATAAATTATTGGGTACATATGACCCTTAACCTTTTTTTTTTTTTTAATTAAGAGTATCTTGGTATTTTCATTAAAAGAATCATGGGTGTTCACATTATCGAGCTTTTTCTTTTAAATTTGAATTGATAGATTTGCATTTAAAAAAAGTTTATAGTGTTGGATGAACTTTTAATATATTTTTGTGTATTTTTGACCTTTAATCTATTTTTTGCTGGTACTTTTTAATATTTGCATTTCTTCTTGAGTCCCCATAGTGATTTTCTCTTTATAATTCCACGTTTTGTAATTCATATATCCTGCCAAAGAGCTGCACGCGAAGAACCTTCTCCTCGACGACAGAAGCTGCAAAGCCAAAGGTGATCACCGAAATCCCCTTCCCCAAGTTTTCGAATTTCTCAATTTCATCTACTTTCTCTGGAAATTTGAGTCTTGACTTCTTTTGCCTCTTTGGTTATGGTAACAGTATTCTGTTTTTCCTCATGGTTCGATGATGCAATTTAGCCTTAGCTTTGAAACACTGATTTTTGTTATCCCTTTAGTTTCTTTTTTTTTTTTTTTTTTTATGGCTTCGGATGGTGCGGATTTACAAATACTCGCGCGCGTTTCGTTATTTTTACGAAATTTGATTGTGGAAGTGCAGAATTTCTGTATTTGGCCCCTTTCTTATTGGAACCCAGCGGTGTCTTAATCAATTATTATCTTCCCCGTTTGTTATGAGTTTAATTTAAATTGATCCGTGGTTGAATTTGTGAAAATTTAACTCATGATGGGTGTAGCATAATTGATGTGTCTACCTTAAATGGTTCGCGCGAGACGCTTCTAGGCAGATTAGCTTATCATCGGATTTCGTTCTTCTAATGCGTTGTGGAAGATTTTTGCTCACTCACTTAACAAAGGTCTTTCTGTTTTGTTGATTTTTTATTCCAATTCTAATAATCTAGCTGAGCCGCAATTGCTTAATGTTGGGTATGGACCAAATCTTAGTCTTATGATGTAAGACAGAGTATGTAGGATATGGCGGGGAGCAAATTGCAAAAATCTTGATTGGGACTGCATGTATCTGATGTTGCCTTTGGATATATTATGTTATTGTGAGAGCTGTAATGAAAAATGAAAATGATCGCACACATTTGAATTTTTCAGCTCAAACATGCAAACACCTCCAAGCCTTCACAAAATCTCTGTTACATGGAGGGGAAAGAGGTTTGTCATAGAGATGAATTCAGGTGCCACTGTCAAGGAGCTTGGAGAGGAGTTGCGAAAGCTGACTGATATCCAAGAAGATACTATGCGTTTCATTATTCCACAGGTTTCCAGCAATGCCTCAAAATTAATGTCTCCCTTCTCTACAGAGCATTCTTTTTTAAGTCTGCAAGAAGCTTCCATTACTGAGGTACCCCATGATTTACTTATACTATCTTGCATCTAACCATTGGGATGTGAAATTAATCTTATGTATATAATTTCATATTTCGCTATGTTATTTTTCTATAACACTATGCTTTATACTGCTTGTCCCAGCCTAATTAATACATGAATAAATTTCTGTCTCATAAGCACTTTTGTTGATCAAATGGGTCCAAAAAAGAGGCTTCAGTCCAATATAAATTAGTCAATTCACTTTAGAGATCGTCGTCTCACCTCTGAACCTATGAGGGAGAATTTGTTGATGGACACGAGTTCATCAGCAAATACCTGAGTGGTATCATTTGAGTAATAAATGAAAACAATTACATCATTTCTTTTAATGATTGTTTCTGAGAGGGAGTTTAAGATTTTGGATACAAGTCCAATTGTTCTCTTCAGGGATTTTTTTTTTTTGAACAGACAAATGAATACTCCTTTTTGTATTTAATAGTAAATCACCAATAATGATGGTGGCTGTATTGACTTAAACTTATAGTTCCTTTGTCCATCCATTGTTCCTCTACAGGGTAAGTCAATTAAAATGATGGGTGTGTCAGCAAATGAAGTTGAGCAAGTTCTACAAGATGCAAAGGTGAATTTAAGGATAGCTGGATTTGAGGAAGAGGAAAAGAGATTGAAACAAAGAAGTTCATATGGACCTGTTTCGTTGAAGCTTCCACAAGGGCCTTATATCTTCAGTCAATTTCAGACGCTTGAAATTCCAGGAGTGAAGGTATATTCTGGCATGTGAATATTAATATCCATCATATTTGCTTAGCAGAAAATGACTCAACACATCCACAGATGGTTTACTACATCACTCTGTGTGACAAATAGACAATCCAGCATTAGGCCTTTCTAAGCTATAGCATCTCAGAAATTTATCCTTCCTTTATGCTTCCGCATTTACTTTGCATGCATGGCAATAACATGCTTGGAGAGAAAGACATATGGAATCCCTAGAAGTCAGGTTTTTCAAGTTGTGAACAAGGAATTGGACGCAAATTTACTTGTAGAATTATCATCAAGATTGACATGAAGAATTAGCTGTGGTTATAAATTGTGCTTGGGCTGTTTTATTTTGAATTGCCATTAGCAATTAATGGGTTAGCCTCTCACTTATCTGGCTATCTTAGCAGCTCAGTCTTTGTACTGGCATCGGCTAGTGGATGTGTCTGACCAATAGATCTGAAAAGGGTCAGTTGAAAAGAAAGAGCAAGAAGATATACATTAGAATAAGGCATTTGTTTTGTGGATTGAGAAAATGTAACGTATTTTATGACATTTTGGCGTGTTAATTTGTTTTCTTAATGCTGCATGTGCGAAATCATCACATTCTTTGCCACCTGCCTCATGATATGAAAATTTTAAGGGAGATTAGCCCACTGACTTTGGATGAGAATTATAATTTCTTTTCTTTGCAGCTGAACCCTCCTCCCTCTGAGGCATTAAAGAGAATGCATATGCTTGCTGCAGATCCTGGAGTTGTTGCTATCATGAACAAGGTATGATACAATGTATTTCACAACTGTAAATATATGATTTTTCCATCATGACATAGTGGTGCAACTTCTGATTGATGTTTAAATTTCATCTTTTAGCATCGTTGGCATGTAGGAATTATGACTGAGATGGCTCCTATTGGGTATGTTGGTGTGAGCCCAAAGTGCATTCTTGGTTTCAACAAGGTAGTGACTTGTCTTTGGTGAGGTTTCAAGAGTCTTAATATCCAGTATTATTCTATTGATTGTCTTCATTCTTGTTACTCTTCTTGGTAGAACCATGGAGAAGAAATATCTTTGCGACTTCGAACTGATGACCTCAAGGGTTTCAGGAAATATGAAAGCATCAAGAAAACTCTCCTGCATGAACTTGTAAGATATAGAAATATTCGTTCTTGGTTTATATGGATGTGAAGATATGAACTTTCATGCTTCATCATAAGTATCAACTGTTCATGTCACATCATTCTCAGAAAAATATGGGGCTTAATGCTTAGTCTCCAAATATCTTAAGTAAGATATTAAAAAATGATACAAATATTATTATTGAATTATTGAACTAATGTGTCTTGTACTTATTTCAGGCGCACATGGTACACTCTGAACATGATGCCAATTTTTTTGCTCTGGATAAACAGGTTTTGCTTGAGTGTATTTCCCTGACTTAATTCACAATGATACCTCCACTGAGTGGCTTATCCTGATTTAATTTGTTTTCTGGCAGCTAAACCAAGAAGCTGCTAGTTTAGATTGGACTAGATCTGCTAGCCACACGTTGGGTGATGCCAGAAGTTCTGACTATTTTGAAGAAGATTTTGAAAGTAAAAATAGCAATATTCCGCAGAAGGTTGGAGGTAATAGGTCAGATCAGCTAGCAAGTGCTCGAGCTTCTTCAGTTGCTGCTGCTTACTATCGTATGGCTAATGCATCTTCCCAAAAGGCCAGCGGGTCTGAAGTGAATGAAGAGCCAGATCCAGATGATTCTAGTTTGATAGCAAGTGACAGAACTGATCATGTGAATTCTGAATCAAAAGAAGTCATTGATATGAACGTGACTTCTCATGCTGACAGAGAACCTAATAGTGAGCCTGACCCAGATGATTATGCAGCCAAGGTGATAAAGCAAGAGCCTGATCCAGACGATTCCAACAGTGTAACAGCATTAAGTACTGATGGGTCTGATTCATTAGGTTCTTTTGTTACGATAAATGTTAAACCTCAAGCTATTGAAGGCAAGAATTCTGAAGAATTTGCTCAAAATGTACCTAATGCTGAAGTAGTTGTGCTGGCCGAACCTGATCCTGATGACGTGGCGGTGCCTCCAACAGAATCATCTGCGATGCAAACTGATGAGCCGGATCCTGATGATCAAGAATCACAGAGGATCAATGATCCTGTGACCATAAATATTGGATCTCAAGCTATTGGAAGAAACATAGCTTCTAAACAAACTGCTCATAATGGACCTGATGCTGGGGAAATTGCACTGGCAGAACCTGATCCTGATGATGTTGTGGGGCCCCCACCAGAATTATCTACGATGCAGATTGATGAGTCTGATCCTGATGATCGAGAATTGCAAAGGATCAATGACCCTGTGGCTGATGTTTGTAACCGTCTGCAGAAAACCCTGGAAGTGCTGAGAACTGAAGTTAGTCCCATGCAGACTGCTTCAGTTCTCCAGACTCTCTTAAAAATTATCAGGTAGTTTGATATATGAGAGTATTTATGTTATGTTTTGCTTGAAAAAAAGGATTGGAAATTAATGGAAAAGGAAAGGAGATGACGGATAAGAGTGGCTTGGTATAATGAAAATGCTCTCCCTGTTCACATTCCTTGGAATTGATGTTGATTCAATTTTATTCCATCAAAAAGCCAACAGAATGGCACACCATTCTTGGAAATCTAAGCCAAAATGTCATTCTTGTCGCTAAATGAACCATCCATTATCAATTGAGCTGGGAGAGGCAATGAGGCAATTTGTTTGTTAACCACTATTTGAATATTAAGAGCAGTTTGGAGCAGTTTGGTCAATTGTTATTATATGATTTCATTCCTTTCATCTTTTATTCTACCAGACATAGTAATGCCAAAACATTCCTACTTTGTCTGAACCATACCAAACGAGATTTTGAATATATCATTCTTTTCCATTCCCATTCCCATTCCCATTTCTTTATCACTTCATTTATATTCTATCCCAACCCACCAAACATATGGATAGTTTTGTTTTTCTTGACTTCCTCTTACTTTGAGGCACTTCAGAAATTATATTTTTATCCTATATTTTGTTCCCTCTGGCATGGTTTTTCAAGCCTAATAATGTTTTGCTGCCTAAAAACAGGAATGCGATTGAGCACCCTGGTGAGATGAAATACAAAAAGCTACGGAAGGTATGATTTGCCTGAAATTTTGTCTCTATTACATGCTGTATCTGTAGGCTGACTTTAAAAACATCTAAACTACTCATGTTTTATTTGCAGGCTAATCCTGTTATTGAGAGGAATGTTGTGAACAATAAAGGTTTGCATCTTGACGCTATAGGGCTTTAATTTAATTATTGCATCATATAGAGATCCTGATTTAGTTTTATGGCTTTATATTTCTGAGATTTTAGTGATGTAAGACACACTCACACACTAGGATAGATGCAAACAGAGGTGATGTGGCGAGAAAGGATAGAAATAGAGTAGAACAGTTGGGGGCATGATCAGAATTTAGGGTGGGACAAATGGCAGAATGTGGGGTATGGGAGAACTGAATCTGTTAAGGCAAAACACATTGGGTGAAGGTGCAAAAATGCCATCACCGTAACCTTTTTCAAGGTGCAAAAGTAACCATAAAAGTTCAAAAACAGAGTAAAAATGCCATCACCGTCAAGATAAATACCATTATTTTTTATGGTGGGACCCACAATATTTGTTATGAAACACCCAAAATACCCCAAATTGAAAAACATACCCCTCGCCCTCCCGACCTCTCATATTCATCCTCTGTTTTGTGTCCCTCCAATAGAAATTCTACACTTCCAAAATTCATCACCATCAACGCATCCATTAGAAATAAAACCAGAAGTACCCAAAAAAAAAAAAAATCATCAATCTTGCTAAAATCAAACTCAAAAACAGCTGGTAAGAAAAAAACCCATAGGCAATACTCAATTTCACTAATAATATTAAACCAGAAGTACCAAAAAAGGAAAAACAATCATCAATCTTCCAAGAGAAGCTGCCTCGTCCTTCCTCGTCCTTCATATCTGAAAGATAATAAATTGCAACAGATGATGGCAATGAGTTCATGAGGCTGAGGAAGAAGTTTTGACTGCCTGGAGATGAAGAGAAGCCGCTTCCTATATCTTCTTCGTCTTTTAGATCTGAAAAATGACAAATCACCACAGACAACGGGGACGAACTTTGCGAAGACGCCATGTGCGACAGATGTGGAAGAAGATGCAAAACCGATTTAAACAATGGCATCCTCTCTTCTCCAACTATGTTTGTTTTGACACCCCCTTTGGTCTCTCCCTCTCCCTCCCTCTCCCTCTCCCTCCTTCTCAATCGATGAAATGGATGAAGAAAAACATAAGACAAGGTGCTGGTTCAATGCATCTCTTTTCTCTCCATTCTCGGCTCCTGCTCCCTACTCCAAAAGAATAGAAATTGAACATCATTGAGACCCAAATCAGGGAGGTTGGGAGGAAGACGAAAGTCCCCCCCCCCCTTCTGAGCTGTGGTATTTTAGGATTTTCGTAATAATAGTGGGTCCCACCACAAAAAATAACGGTAGTTAGGCTATCTTGATGGTGATGGCATTTTTGCTCCATTTTTGAACTTTCATAGTTACTTTTGCACCTTGAAAAAGGTCATGGTGATGGGTGCACTTTTGATATAAGTTTATAGGTGTTTTTGCATCTTGACCCAAACACGTTCGTTAGTCAATTTATTGTCTATCTATTACATATGCTGCCTAATATCTACTTATAAAGCTAGATTTCCTTCTCAAGAAGGAATCAAAAAGCAAAGTAAAAGTATTAAAACAATAATAAGCTCACTTGCCTAGGTTTCCTCTCTAGGAAGGAAACATCTAAGATATTATATAAGATTAAAAACATAAAACATAAGCTATTTACAAGTTAGTTGTCTGGTCCGATTCACCTCCTAAACTGGGGGGGGGGGGGGACCAGTTGTAACTCGGCCTAAACCGGAGTAACATGGTGAAAACCGGGGTAACCCGCGAGTTTGGTGGGTTACACTTGCTTATATTTTTCCCCAAAAAAAAAAGGAAGAAGAAAGGAGGAAGGAGAGGGGGGGGGGGGAGGGAGAGGGGGAAGACGGAGGAAGGAGTACAGAATTGAAAGATAGAGGAGACCAAGGTAAGGAGGAGGAAAAGTGACGGTCACTGTTGTTCGCCTGCTGTGATAGTTACTCCGTCATTGCTGTTCTCCTCTAGTAGGGGCCAATCGGATTTGAAGGGAGAAGCCATGGAAGCCGTGAGAGAAATGGGTTACCTGCATAATAAAGAAGAATGAAGCCACAGACTGACGCTAGGGGGAGAGAAGTCTAGCATTATGGGTTGTAGCCTTTAGAGTGTTAAGGACGTAAGCCATAAAGTAAGAGAGAGAATAGAGAAAAAAAATAAATAAAAAAAGGGGTGGTTCACGTGAAGGAGATAAGGAAAAAAATAAAAAAATTTATGTGTGTGTGGGATGTGGAGACAGTTTGGATCTCTTAAATAAGATTGCATCTTCTTTTATATTTAAATATGAATATTTTATATATTTTAATTAAATTATATTATTTTAATGATTATCGGTTTGATCCCGGTTTGACCTATTAACCCTTGAATGCTACCTCAATGTAATGTCCAGTCTTGTTTTTTGAATCTTGGTTATAACAGAAAATAAAATAAAATATTGAAGTAACCTCAGTATTCCCATATTCCATCCCTTACACTACCGATGCAAGTGGATTGGATAAAACTGAGTAGCATCAACCACCGACCTTATTTTACCTCCGTGGGATTGGATTGTTACTATTTCATCTGATCTACTTGGTTTCTATATAGGAATGTCAGGTAGAAAATATTAATGAATATGGTACTAAATTAACTGTCTTTTACATGTGTTGATTTTATGCATCAGCTTGAATTTGTGCCATAACCTTATATTTCCTGTTTTTAATGTTGCAGCTGCATTGGAAATTCTATTCTTGGTTGGCTTTAAGGAAGATGTTATGTTTGATGAGCTTGGGAAGGCAGAATCATACCTAGCATTGAAACGGAATGATCCTGGCCTATTGTGGTTGGCTAAGTCTTCGCTTGAGTCATGCACTAATTTATAAACCAAGAGTCTGTGGAAGGCAAAGCAGAATGGTAAAGGCAATGCGATTTTATGCATAATGTTTTATATATTGGGGTGATCAAAGATAGACAATTTGTATGGTTGAATGTCGAGTATATACAATTTGTATATAATAAAAGGGTCGGATAACATATGTGGAATATTGAATTTCGGGGTGGTGGGAGAATGGGATTATGTTGGTGGATGAACTCGTTGATCATGTAAGATATCCGGCACATGTTCAACTTGCCTTGTTATATTGTAAGCAAAAGCTAGATGTAAATAGATGTTGTATTGAATGTTGCGGTGTATGAAGATTTAGAAAGAGGATGCTGTGGAAGAAACGGGGAAATGGGTTTGAGTGGTGTGTAAAGTCTCCCCCCCCCCCCCACCCCCCAATTCACTTGGCCTTTCTTGGAATTTAGTAGTTTGAATACTTCTGTTATTGGAAAAGATGAATAAGTTTAGCACTGGTGAAAACTTTTTTATTTTAATCAACAAAGATCCGTAATACTTGTTATATTTTTTAGTTTTTAATAATAATTATTTTTATAATTTCAGTCCCAAATAAGAATACAAGGCACGGAAAAAGGGCATCATATTTCTGGTCATGATAAAGATCCGGCCACAGCTCACGTAGCGTTATTTTGTTAGACAAAATTTGTTGCTTTTGTTTGAGAAACAGTAGAAAGATTGGGAAAAAAACAAAAGATGTTATTAAAATTTTTTAAAAACAAACAAAAAACAAAACAAAGCAGAAAATAATTGAGGTGATTTTCGCTCGAATTGTCATTATTTTATTTTGACATGTTAATGGCAAGCTGCCGAAGGATTTTAGGTTTCGCTCGAATTGTCATTATATATATATTTATCAAATGTTTACCATTGGAACTTGATAGGCACACAAAAAAAAAAAAATTGAAACATATGATTTGGCAAATATCAAGTAATAAAGAGTGAGTAGAGTATCATTTGTACAAATATTTGTAACGACTCAATTGATAATCAACTTTACATTTTCGTGCACACAAAGAATGAAAATGAAAACGATAATTAAATTTTAAACGATAGTTAGGGTTAGTGCTGATTTGATGCAAAGAACTAATATTTGAGGATTACTATTTACTAGCCGAACTAATTTTTTTAATACTTATAACTATTCAACTCTTATATTTAAAATGAGAGGAATTACTTATTTAGTACAATTTCCGAGTATGCAAACTAAGGGTGGGTGAAAGTGCAAGTTGTAAGGGTGCAAATTCCTTAGGTGAACTTTTTCAAGGTTTTAGGCACACTGATTTTTGTGCAGAAATAAGATGGATCTGGGAGGAGGGGGATCCGCAACAGATGCTTTTCCTCTTAACCAATATGGTATAATGCCTTCCTCCAAAAAAAACTTCATAGCCCAAGCCCAAATTGAATTCCTTGGAGTAATATTTTATAATGATTTCTACCAGCCTGGTTCCCACATTGCATAGGAATTACTCAATTTCCTAGATGACAACTTGTCAGTAGAACGGATTCAACAGTTTTTGAGAATTGTAATTGTGTTCGTGACTTTATTTTTGATATGACCAAATATACTAGTCAGCTGTCCAAACTCTTTAAAAAGAATTCTATCCTTTGGGGAAAAGACCTAACTGCTGTAGTCAAAAAGCTTAAAGAGATAACACAACATCCTCCACCATTCAAAATTCCAGGAATTGGGCAAAAGACTCTTCAAACTAATGCAAGTGATCATTATTGGAGTGCAGTACTTTTTGAAGAAGTTAATAAAAAAAAATATTATTGTAGACATGCAAGCGAACAGTTAAAAAAACCAAAAAAACATTATCATGTCACTTACAACGAGATCTTGGCAGTAAAAAAAAAGGAATTGAAAAATTCAATTTTCATTTTAATCCTTTTGATTTTATTGTTGAGATGGATAACACTTCATTTCCCTCCATGTTTGAAACTAAAACCAAATGCACAACTACTTAGGTGGAAAAACTGGTTCTCTTACTATAAAATCATAGTAAGACATATCAAGGAGGCATCACAACACACTTGCTGGTTACCTATCCAGACTTCCTAAGGTTCAACTTCTCACTCCAAGAAAACCCCTTAGTGTCCTTACCATAAGCAAGATGACTGATCAAATGTCCTTTACACCTAGAACTAAGTTTGTCTGTCATCCTCATCATGATTTCTGTCTGCCTTGACCCACCTACCAATCATCAAGATATCCAAAACCTAGCCAGAAAAAACCTATTTTACTAGTCACACCATCTTATTATCAACAACAATCTTTGTCCCTTTCCTATCATGTTTGACATTAACAGGCCTTACCTCATAGTTCCTATGATTAGAGGTTCTATCCCTGAAGTGATGAAATATTATGTTTGGTATCTTTCAACCCTCTATGCTTGTTCCTTTGTCCTTGAACCTTGGCCTATTTACTACTACCTTTGTGATAGTGAAAATGAAGGTTCTTATCTATGTTACAATGGTTTTCTCCCCTTCATGTTTGGAGAAAAACTCTTAGTGACGTTATCCAACAATTTCAACTCCACACCATCCTAGTAGATAAACAAGTGTCCTAGTGCTCCTTTGTAGTCCACAGACCTTACAACATGGACTTTGAAGGAAAACTGTATACTACTAGTCAAGCACCTTACTGGCACATCAATCAAGATTAGCCAAGATATGAAGAATCAACTCTAGGAAACTTAAGGATTTTCTTAAGTAATTTGAATAATTGTCTTGATGCTAATCCTAAGCTCATTTGCACTTCACTTAGTCCTATTCCCAATAGACCTTTCATACCAAGAAATCCAGCTCCCTAGCATAGACGACCCAGACATGAGGAATTTACGTACTCTAGCTACTTTACAACTGTTAAATTAGTCCAAAGTAGCTTCACCTGCTGCTTCCTTTTCTCATCCAGATATTTTGAGAAACGTCTCACCCTCCTTTTTAGAGATCCAACCTTCATCATCTAGCCATGGGGGTGGACCACTTTCTCAAAACCCATAGGGATCAGAAGAGGACACCAATTTTGGCAATAATGATTCTGATGAGGACCCCAACTTATTGAAGCGATGAGTCTATCTTTAAATAAAGCAGGCTGATCTGTTAGGAATATACTTTTAGTACAAGCATGTTTACTTTTGTTGAGTGCTTTTACTTTATGTCAAACATCATGTTTTCTTGCTTTTATAAAGTAGGATGGGTTGTAATAATTTAGTTTGTCTTGTAATATGTCAAAAAGTCTATATAAACAAGCCTCTGGTTTTCTGAAAGGGCATCGAGTGTTGTATTCACTTCTTAAGAATGAAAGTATGTTTTTCATGATGTCTCACCAAACTCTCTCTTTCTGAAAGCTTGTTCTATCTGCTTATAGATTCAAGTATGTTCTACACTTGCCTCACATAAGGATCCTGTGTATTAGAAAAAATCTGACCATAATCCTGTGAGATGATCTCTTAATAACTAAAGAACTTTAGTCTAGAGTTTTATAGATTGAGGTCCTAATGTGGTTTCTGTGGGGTCAGGTGAGCCGATTGAGAGACCTTGACATGATAAGACTAAGTCTCATAGGTTTTAAAGAGGCTCACCTGCATGGTATTATGAAATTGAATCACACTTTGGACTCAATTTACCTTGCTTGGCAAATGCATAGCAGGAGGAAAAGTGAGAGTGGTTTCGAGAGGAGAAGAGCAATGTGTTTTGAGAGTTATATGTTTAAAACATAAATAAATAAATTGAATGTGAACAATCTAAAATCAACATTAATGGTTTGTTGGCAAAGAAAAAAAAAATCAACATTAATGGTTCAAATTAGGACAAGCATTTTATCCGTATCTTTTTCATGAGCATCGAATCTGCTCTCAGAAAATGCTCCCACTGTTTCCTTAAATAAATCAAAAAGAGAAAACTACCTCATATGACCCATATATTTTGTTTACTTAAGAACATGCCCCATTTGTTTAGTTAGTTGGGTTCGGGTTCCAATCCATAAAAAGTGGACTTGTTATAATCCAACAATTTTTATCGGTAGCATTTGGAGATCCTTGAATACCAACTCATTTGATTGTTTTAGCAAAATAATTAACATAAATTCATCACATAAATAAATATATGTGACTTACAACATGCCCTACACGATGAAGTTGGAAGAAATTGAAGCAAAGCTAGATATATAGGGTGACAATTAATTAATCAGAATTTATAAGCAACTAGGAGGGCTTTGTTTGCCATAAGAAGCACCATGGACATTTGAACATGAAGTGGTGAGCTCATGAAAAGAAGAAGAAAGTTGAGGCCACAGATTAATGTCTTGCAATGTGATATCATGGCATGGCTTATCTTTGCTGCAATTCAGTGTCACTCCAACTTCACTCCTGCTACTTCCTTGAATATTCTTGTACCTCACCTTACTTATCTCCACTTGTGAGCTCACCTTCAACCAAAAAAAAAATCACAACAAAAAAGTCATATAAATAAGCTATAACTCCTTGTTCTAAATATAAAATCAAATCAAATTAAGGAATTTATTATAATTTTAAATGTAAGACTTCAATTCATTTTGTCTCTTAAATATGATTTTTTTCCTCCCAAGCTGTCTTTATTGATTATTCATATTAAAGGGGATTCCCATTAGGTGGGGTGGTTTCAATGTACTACTATAATCCTATTTGTAAAGTATATCCTCTTATTTAATATCTATTTGATACTAAATGTAAGCATTTTTCTCCGTAAAAATTAGAACATTAATTGGTTTGCCATAGTGTAAAGGACTAATTCCTTCCATTAAACACAATCCCTAAGGTTTGTAATATTTACATGTACTCAATATCATGATTTGAACAAAGGGGAAATCTAACTCTGGCAGCCTCAAAAATTTTTATTTTCTCTTCCGTCCCATTGTCAAAAATTTCTAGTTTCATCTCTGCATCCACCACTATTTATCTTACAAAAATGTTTATTATGTATCCTATGAAAAAAAATTAATGTATATAATTAGAAACATCTAAATTTAATCTAAACAATTCATCATAACTATTACGGCAAACGTAGAGGATATGAAAAAATATTTTTGAGTTAATACAAAACATCAAACGCATCAAAATATCTACATTTATTATTTCGCCCAAAATAACAAAGGGTTTTGATAACAGTTTAAATTGATATAAAAATTAATCTTACTCCAAATCACCATAACAAGTCTAATTAAGTTCAAATGAAACTACTACTGTACAAGTAAAACACTTAGCTAGGAGAATTAATTAGAAGCACAAACCTGTGTTTCACAATGAGGATATGGGCAATATTGTTGATCAATAATGATGGGATCCCACAC